ATGCTAATAATAAATATACATAATATAAATATAATAATAATGTACAGGTAAGAATTCAACAGGAAGCGCTATCTACAACCATTGGCTTTTGCTCTGAACTTCTTAGTAACTGTCCTTGACCCCAGCTACACATTCGAATCACCCTTGGAACTTTAAAACATCCCAGTGCCTTGACTCTATCCCTGGAGATTATGATTTAATTAGTCCCAGGGGTGCTCCACACTGGTCAAGCTCCCCAGGTATTGCTACTATGCAGCCAAATGTGAAAACCATTGCCCTAGGGTCTTGCTACTCAAAGTGTGGTCCAAGGACCAGCAGCATCAGCATCCTCTGGAAGCTTGTTAGAAATGTGAAATCTCAGGTACCACTCTGAACCTGAAGAATCAGAATTCAAAGTTTGACAAGACTCCTAGGTGATTTTGCACTTGCAAGATTTGAGAAGCGCGATCTCCAAGGACCTCATTCCCCACCCCCTGCCCCACCTCTGGCCCAGTGGTTGCACCCTTCATCCTCTCAGTAGCATTCAAAGCTAATGTTCCATCTTTTTAATTTTTAATTTAATTAATTTATTTATTTTTGGCTGTGCTGGATCTTCATTGCTGAGCAGGCTTTTCTCTAGTTGCAGTGAGGGGGACTAGTCTTCATTGCAGGGCACGGGCATCTTATTTTGGTGGCTTCCCTTCTTGTGGAACTGGGTTCTAGGTGCACAGGCGTCAGGAGTTGCAGCATGTGGGCTCTAGAGTGCTGGCTCAGTAGCTGTGGTGCATGGGCTTAGCTGCTCCATGCCGCGTGGGATCTTCCCAAATCAGGGATTGAACCCATGTCTTCTGCATTGGGAGGCAGACTCTCCACCACTCTGAGCCACCAGGGAAGCTCTGATATTCCATCTTAAAAACCCCTCTCCCCTGTCACCTTCCATCATACTACACACTTCTGGTTTTCCACATTTTTGGCTTCTCATCTTTTCCTTCACAAACACATCTCTGTCTGCCTTTCTCTTCCTCTCATTGTCTGTCTCATTCTCTCTTCTCTGTCACTTTCCTTGTCTCACTATCCCTTCTTCTGTATGACCATCTCTCTCTCATCTTTCTTGTCTCTCCCATAAGCATGTTTCAGTTTCTCTATCGTCTTTTTTCTGCTAAAAATTCATTTTCATAAAAATGAATTGGCAGCTAAATATGGCCCCCTGACTCAGTTTTATGACTCATTTCAAATAAGCAGCCAAAAGGCAGCCCAGTATTTCTGAATCTCAATACCAAAGTCACAAGAGAGAAGCTGATTGGCTCCGCTTGAGTCAGCATCCAGCCCTGGTCCAGCCAGCTGCGGTGAAGGGAGCAGAGAGATGAGGGTACTAACAGGGTCTGTGGAACTCTGCTCTGGGAGAGGGGCTGGTCTCTAAGGAGGGAGGTGGGGGGCTGCAGAAGCCCAAAAGATGCTCACCACACCTGCCTGCCCAGGTGGACCCACTTGTTGATTGGTTTTGACTTGAATCAAGTTTGACTTGCCCATCCCTTTGGCCACTGTCATCTGAACTTCTGGTGGGTCCCCATTGTCTTCATTCCAGCACAGGCTACTTCTGGTCTTGGAGCCTCAGCTTCCTCATCTATGAAATGGTGACAACAGCCCCTCCCAGCAAGGCAGTTGCAAGATCCTACATGCCATCATGTGGGCAGAGCACCCAGGGCCTTGTTGATCAAGGGACTATGACACATTCAAGTTCCCTAAAATCCCAGAAGTTCCCCTGGTCTTTACCTGCCCACCCCCTCCTCCTTCTTCCTCTCCTGCCACCACCATGCTCCCCCACTGCCAGTGTGGCCCACGGATACCTTGTGGTCACACTCGGTGAGACACACCGCCCCCCTCACCACATATGTATCACTAATTTGGAACACACACCAGGGTACCCGCACTTAGCTATTGAAACCACAAGCTCTGATCATCCGTTCAGTCAACTGGGCCTCATGGACAGCCTGGCTGGGCTCCTTGCAGATCAACCATTGCCACCCAGCCCCCCTACTTGAAATCAGGTGGGGGATACCAGATGGTGAAGAAGGGAGGCAGGAAACCCTGGTGTCTATAGGACATCAAACATTCCAGGTGCCTCTGAGGGCCTCCTGGGTCACTGTCCACATCCTATGGACAGAAGCAGCTCTTGCTTTATGTTTCTTGTTGTTGGTATTATTTTCTCATCCATTGAGCAAATGTTCCCCATCATCGTCTGGGTAGGGGGCTGGGCACTGGAGACTCAGAGATGCAGTCAAACAGGTGCTGAGCTTGGGAACCTCAGCCCATGATCTAAGGCTGGCCAGGTCTCACCAGCCTATGGATGCAAAAAAAATCACCTGCAGATACACACCCAGTCCCCCAGCCCACCTCCTCGCCCCAGAACTCCAGTCCACCTCAAACCCCCCACCTGCCACCCCCATGAGATAGTTCTGGTTGTCCCCAGTGGAGTCTTGCATGAGCCCATGAACCTGACTGGGTTATGTTGCTCTCTGTTTCCTCTGCCTCTCTCACTGGGCCATGGTCCTCTCTGGCCCTGAGGGCACTTAGGCTGGCCCCTGAGACATTCAGTCTGCAGCACCAGGCTCTGCTCCACCCAGACCCTGCCTCGGCCTCGCCCAGCCTCAGCCTTCTTGAAGACTCCCACGCCCGAGGCCCAGGCAGCTCCTGGGTCTGTGACAAATCACTTTATGCTCAGTCAGGAGGCCCCTACAGCAGAGATGCTTAACCCTCAGAGTGATGCAGCTTCTTTAGAAACTGCTTTTTCAGTTCAAACCACACAACAGCTCTCTCCCTTGGGTGTGGCACCGACCTCACTGGGATAGTAGAAGTAGGGGGCTTCAAATCTGGAATGCTCCTTCTTGCTCGGGCCCTGTTGCATACTCCAGAATCCATGTTTTCTAAAGATTAATTCTCCCTTTGAGGCCCTGCAGCCTCTCCTGTATCCTGGCTTCCTCTGGCCATGCCCAGCTGCAAGCAGCAGAAACCCCAACCCCACTGGCGGAACGTCCCGTCTCACAGAGGAGAACCCTGCGGGGAGGCAGGGCTCCTCCCAGCTCCACGGCTCCGTGCTGGGTCAGGTGTGTCGCTCAGCAGGTGTTCACTGGCCCCCCTCCCCTGGGGGATGGGTGTACATCCCAACCTGCCATGCTGGACCTGGCCGTCAGGCTCTCTTTGGCCTTTGGAATGTGAGCCAAGTCCCTAAAAGTGCTTGTGTGAGTTAGATTGTCTTCAAGCCCCCGTGATCTCCCAGGAGAGGACCTCTCTTCCGCTCACTGCGGCTCCTTCAGCCCTGGCCCCAGAATAAATACGTGTGGAACAGACCGGAACCCAACCCACAGCCTGCAGCATGGTGCCCAGCCCCGCCCGGAGTAGCTGAACCACAGTGAACCTGCTGACCTGTGACCTCAAGCACTCTCAAGAAAGCCCGGTGTCACTTGCTGAGTTTGGGGGATGTTTGTCTTGTGGCATTACCCAGCAACAGCTCGGGCACTCTGGTGGGGGATCACTTCCGTCAGGCCTGTCCGCTCAGGTCTCAGATGGCTGCAGTGGGGCCAGCAGTCACGTCCTCAGACAGCCACATGGAGAGGCAGGAGAAGGGAGCAGCTTTTCTGCTCGTGTCTCTTGGTTTTCATCGAAAGGGACACATTCCCCAGAAGCCTCCTCCCCCATCAATGTCTCCTTCTGTCTAATGGGCAGAGACACTTGTGTCTAGGGCCTGTTACCTGCGTTCTGATCCATCACTGGCAAGAAAAATGGGATCACCGAGATTGGGTCACATTAGAAAACATCTCCTCTTACCTTGTGGTAGGGAAAGCGGCTCCATAAATCATAGCGATGCTTGGCGGTCAACCAGACAGAGCGGGTTCCATTAGCCAGGAAGGAAGTGGGCCACGGCAAGTGAGTGGGAACCCACAGATGCGGCCACAGACTCCTGTGGCCCCAGGAAACCGACAATCAAGAGTACTATTTCTTAATGCATATGTCAAACACCTAATGAACAAATGCATATGTTAAAGTAGCATCCTTATTTCTTATTGTTATAAGAAATACTTGTAACTTATTTCTCTGTGTTTCCAGAAGGTCCTCTCTCCATTTGTTACCCTTAAGGCAGAGGTGAACTGCCTGATTTTTTGCAGAACCATTAAAAAAAATGGATGTTGGTATTATTTAAACATAAGACAGATAAGGACAGAACACTCTGGTTTATAGGGGATATGCGTGTGTGGCAGTGGGGGCCAGGGAGAAGGATGAGGGGAAGCCTGACCCCCATTTGCTTGGCTTCCCTCTTCAGCCCCTCCCACCCAGGATCACTGAGATACAGTCAGAGAACCTAGGATTCTGCCTAAGTCAGTTAGGAAATCGTTGCATATCAAAAACAAAAGCCACGTTTATTGAGTAGTTACTGTGTTCTAGGCAATTGTGCATACCTTTGCACCTTTAATCTGACAATATCCTTTATTCAGGGCTCCATTCCCTTCCTCCAAAGGGAACTGGCCTCAGGACCATGCCCCAGGCTGGCAGTGAGGTGTTTGGGAAGAGCATTCATTCTGGAAGCCAGCGGAGGATTTCAGGAGGCCTGGGTTCGAGTTCTAGCTGTGACTTTGACATGCCGTGTGTCCTCGAGTAAGTCTCTTAACTTCTGCTGGTCTCCGTACCCTCATCTGCACCATGACATATTGGGTTCTCGTGCTCTGACGCCCCAGGACCTACACTGAGGCCGCCTCCGCTAGCCTGGATTGACACGTGCTGAGCGAGCCCTCCCCGCAGAGGAGGCAGAAGCAGCATCGGAGGGCCTGGGCCCCCGAGAGAGGAAGTGGATCTGGAACCTCTGCACCCCCACCCGCCCCCACACGCTGCCACCATCTGACCTGATTAAAACCCAGCCGGTGGGGCCTGCCGGTGACTCAGTGCCTCGCTCTATCTGATCGTCAAAGTCGATTCCTAGAAGTTGAAAGTCACTTCTCCTCTGCCGCAGCCAGCGCCACCTCCTCCCCCGTGAGGTGAGCGCTAATTCTGTCCCTTCACCACGGAGCCAGGACGCAGGAGGTGACAGTGTAAGGGGCTTTCAGGGGAAAGTCTGGGTTGGAAATCTAGAGGTCAGGCCATGCTGGAAGGGGTGAGAGAGGCCGGGAACCATCCTGGCTGGGGAGGAAATAGGATGTGTAAGCAGGAGGCGACGCAAGACCTCAGCTCTGTACTCACCAGCTGTGTGACCTCAAACACAGCATGTCATTTCCCTGCCTCAGTTGTGTGTAAAATAAACAGGACAACTCTCCCTCCCAGTTTTACTTCTCAGAGATAACCAAGGCTAATGGCTCAGAATGTGTTCTTCTGGACTCTTCTCTTTGCAGACACAAAGCCAGAAGAGGGAGAGAGAGAAAGATGAAAATAGAGATGAGAAGATTAGAGTGGCCTTGACCATGGTAACCACAACAATGGGATCACACTGGACAAGGAAGCGGTGAGGATACGGGCATGCTAGGAAGACCCGCTTTGGGGAGCGTTTTCTGTCTCCCTCACCCACCTCCAAGAGAATCACAGGCATGACCAGAAGCAGGAACTTGGCCTTTCTTGTCACATCCCAGCACCTGGATTGGCACCAAGAGAGGTGAGAGGCAGGGGAGCCTCAGCAGTGTGCAGGGGCTGCCTCCGCATCTCATCCCCTGCACCCACCTTCCGTGGCTGCTGTTCACTTCCACCTTCCAAATCTCCAAGTCCTGAGGACACACCACCCCCGAGTTACACAGTGAAATTCTGGGAAACGCAGTTTCATTAAGTTGACACAAAGCAAAGCCACCCCCCTCCAGATGCTCAAGATCCCTTGTGACGACATTATGACAGAGAGCAGGAGAGGGAGGTCACCTGGGGAACGTCAGTGAAAGTGTATGGCCCTCTGCCCAGGTGAGTGTGAAGTGCTCTGACTCTTCTGATGAGGACGGAAAGGACCATTCTACGGGTCGACAGTCACACTAGATGCCAGAGTCTATGGCGTTCTGATGCAGTATTGGTGAGGGGGCTACCACGTACTTCAGTCTGTGGTGGTTCCCCATCATCTCTGATCTACTGGCTTCTTACAGGGGCTCCACTGCTGAACCAAATGGGGATATAATAGAAGGCACCACTCCTGTGTCCTTCCCGTCTTTGAGGGTAGTGCTAATCTCTGCCATTTCTCCCAGCCGGTGGCCCACCTCTGGTTTACTATTTTGTCTAGAGAGGGGAGGTGCAGTTTAGAGCCCTCCTCTCCCATTATAAAGTCTTTTAAACCACAGGACAGGAAACCCAGTGAGAGTTCTGCCAGCTGTTAAGGATAGCCATCCCAATGACACATGCAGGGACTGGAGAGATGGCTGTGGGTGAGCCTATGACCCAACAGACCCACTGTGAGATGGACAAAAGCCAGCACTCATCTGTGGCCTCCGTCCACCCCTCAATGGCACGTGGGTGGTTCTCTGGTCTTACATGACGCATCCATTCTCACATGTTCACCCTCTGAACATTTTGATACCTTCTCTGCACTCAGCCAAGGCAGTTTTATTATCTCCAGCTCCCTGTAGACCAACTATGCCTCATGTCTACATGTCCCAGCAGTGTTAGGAGTGTCTCAGGGCTCCTGAGTCATTGGACAGTGGTTGTTCAGTTACTCAGCTATGTCCTACTTTTTGCAGCCCCATGAGCTACAGCACGCCAGGCTTCCCTGTCCTTCACTATCTCCCTGAGTTTGCTCAAACTCATGTCCATTGAGTTGGTGATGCCATCCAACCATTTCATACTCTGTTGTCCTCTTCTCCTCCTGCTCTCAATCTTCCCCGGCATCAGGGTCTTTTCCATGAATCGGTTCTTTGAATCAGGTAGCCAAATATTGGAGCTTCAGCATCAGTCCTTCCAATGAATATTCAGGGTTGATTTCCTTTAGGATTGGACATTAGACAGTGCTCCTTGTCAATCCAGCCCTCTATTCTCCCTGCCCTGATAGAAGACCTTTAAGACTTCCTCCCAGGGGTGTTCTGGCTCCTGCAGTTCTTTCAGTAGATAATTTGTTTCCTCTTATTAAAGAGGAAATGTGAACTCCCTCAGACCACATTGAGAACTGATTTTAGTTACTGGTCTGTATAACAAGGGGCTTCCCAGGTGGCTCAGTGGTAAAGAATTCACCAGCAATGCAGGAGATGCAGGCTCTATCTCTGGGTCAGGAAGATTCCCTGGAGAAGGAAATGGCAACCCACTCCAGTATTCTTGCCTGGGAAATCCTATAGACAGAGGAGCCTGCCAGGTTACAGTCCATGGGGTCACAAAGAGTCAGATACGACTTAGCAACTAAAGTTAAAAATTTCTGCAGAGCAGTCGGAGAAGTGGGGGATGCCATGGAGGAATCCGCATCATTTGGAGAGGCAGGCACCCCGGACCAGACCTTTGCATTGTCTCCCACCACCAGGAGACTCTAGCAAAGAGGAGAGACCATTTCTACCTTCCAGAGGTTCAGGGGACTTTGAGGCTCAGGTTTATCAAGCAAATCCGAACAGATGTTCCCATCCCAGTTCTCAGGACCCCAGCTTTCTCTGGCAGCTCTTCTATCAGCCTGAAAGACCCACAGGGGTCTTTCTAACTAACACACCAACTAACACACTAACTAATACACCCAGGGGCTGTGAAGTTAGCCCCTGTTCCTCCACTCCTCTTTCAGTTAACTCTTGGGTGTGATTTTCAGTACAGCCTGCCCGCTCCAGCTTCAGGAATTAAGGGGCTATCAAAGCACTGCCCTGGCAGCCTTCTGGCTTTCCAGCTGAACCCTACGATGGTGGTGGGCTGACGTTTTCTTCCTTAAGGGCTGTCATGGCAGTTGACCTCAGCCAAACAAGTCTGCAATCCTTCAAGTTACCATTGTGCCCCATCTCTCAAGGGCTAGAGCTACTGGATAAACCAGTGCTTTCCCTTCCATCTGTATCTCTAATCCAGGAAGATGAGAGTCTCAGCAAAGATGGGGCTACAGCATCCCAGGCACTTGCTAATGGTGTCATCCCACTTCACTCACCACCATCAATGTGGTACTGGCTGCCCTCTGGCTAGTGAAGGATTCCATTCCAGAAGCCCACCCTGAGAGTCTATTCCTAGGACCATTTGCATTAGCAACTGTCTTTGGTTGGGTGCCCCCAGAAGCAGATCCTGAGGCAAGGATGGAGTATAAGCAGCTAGTTTATTTTACAGTTCCTCCCATAGAAGGAAAGGCAATAACACATGTATTAATAAGCAGGTTCCCACTGTGAGCAGCCGAGGCTCAGGCTCCCTGGGATGCTGACAGAGCAGAACATGCCCTAGATTATCCTGCCCGAAGGGCAAGAAAGCTGGGGTATGTATCCTCCTGCTGCTCTGTACCCGTGGCTGGGTTTTGCCCCTGGGGGTGTTAACAGCCCAGTGCTTCTGGCCTCTGATAACCAACTCGGCAACAAGGTGAAGGGGAAGCACCAGGGCGGCAAGCACAGGTGCCTGCATCTGACACCATCAGCAAGGGCAGAGCGGATACAGGCGGGGCACCCACAAAGGCTGCTGCCACCAATCTGTTGAGAATCAATGTACATAGGCATTGAAACGATTCAGTTCAGTTCAGTTCAGTTCAGTCACTCAGTCGTGTCCGACTCTTTGCAACCCCATGAACCGCAGCACGCCAGGCCTCCCTGTCCATCACCAACTGCCGGAGTCAGCATACAAAGAGCTGAATTACTGACAGCGTACTATACTTAAGACCTGGACATGGTGTTACTCATCTCAATAGCACTGCTAGATGACTGTTATTAGGATCTCCATTTTACAGATGAGGAACCGAGACACAGATATTGAGCCACTGGTCCCAGATGGCAGAGCTGTAAATTACTGGATTTCAAGCTCCACCCAGGCTCTAACTGTGTCTGGTTTTCTTTAATAATGCATATGAATACATACTTAATATATTACATGAATGATAAATTAATTTCATATCTGTGTGCACTAAATTCTCTGAGGGCAGGAATAAGATTTTTTGGCTTCAGTATTCAGAGTACCTAGCCCCTAGCTGGCATTTGACAGGAACTTATTGAATAAATGAGTGAATGACTTAAGAAGAGATCAAGAACTAGCAGTTTCTTTCTCAGCTACTGATAACTGTGTGACTTTGGATAAGTCTCTTTCCTGGTGTGGCCTCATTTTCCCACTCTATAAACACCCCACACTAACCCTTGCCTCCTGGCCATCCAGCCCCTTGCTCCAGAGCCATCCTTACAGAAGTTTCTGGATTCTCGTGGAGCCTAACGCTCCGTTAGCCTTCTCACTGCTCTCCTCCAATGACCCCATCCTGGCTTCATTTCTCATCTTGATCAGCTCCACCGTCACATCACCGTATTCGCCTAGTGACACTGGACACCCATGCAATCTCACAGCACTGAATATGGCTGAAAAAAAACCATATAACCACATTGCCAGGTTCCATTCTAAATTCATGACTGCAGGCCTCAAATGGGCACTTCAAGTTGCCCCATGGAGCCCTCTGTGTTTCTCTCCTCTGGAGTGATTACTTCTGACTTTCTCCCTTTCTTCCCTCTGTCACACTTACCAGCCCCTGGTCACCAGCCTCTGGCTCTCCGTAGATGACCTCACCCCAGACATCAGTTCAAAAAGCAGGTGCCAGGAGCCATGACAGTCTCCTAGTCTTGCCCTGTCCTGTGGTGGTGGTTTGGTCACTTCAGTCGTGTCTGATTCTTTGCAACCCCATGGACTATAGCCCACCAGGCTCCTCTGGCCATGGGATTTTCCTGGCAAGAATACTGCAGTGGGCAGGCATGCCCTCTGCCAAGGGCTCTTCCCAACCCAGGGACTGAACCTGGGTCTCCTGCATCGGCAGGCAGATTCTTGACCGCTGAGCCACCGGGGAAGCCTCCTCCTCCATCCTGTGGTTCTGCTGTATCTGCTTTCGTCTTTGCTTCCTCAGGCCCAACACCCAAAGCCCACATCCCCTCTCCTCTCAGAGACTGGTCTTGCCACTTGTGCTCTGGGTCCTGTTCTTTTCACCTTTTCAAGGAACTTGAATCCTCACGTTGCCACCTCTCTCCTCCGTCATCAGCCTCCTTGCTGGACCTCCTTGCTGGTCTTTTCCCGTCAACACACAGACCTGCTCCAGGCCCTGACCCAGCCACCCCTCCCTTGGGCGCCATCCCATCCCAGCCTCCTCTCATCTTCTCAGGAGTGTCTCCCCCTCCTCCTCCCCCAGCTCCCAGCATCCTGTCTGTGGCCCAACCCAAATGGCCTCCAGGGAAGCTCTCCAGGGGTGAGGCAGGAGGCAGGGAGGCTGTGTCCACCGCTCTCTCTCCAGCTTCTGTGGCAACGTGCTTATCTGTCTGCCCTGGTCTGATCCAGTTTGAGCCACCCAGACTCCCTGTTTGATCACCCAAATGGAATCTCAGCTTCTCTTCCATTTGGGGCTCCGTTCGGGGACACACCCCTTGACTCTAGATCTGGGCCCAATTTCAGCCAGTTCAGAGAGGTTTGAGCTAGTTCAAGACGAATGCATTCAGCTAGGACCAATTCCAAAAGATTTAAATCAGCTACACCGGTTTATGTAGCTCAGAAAAATTCTGCTGATCCAGCAAGGCTAAAACAGGCCAACCCGGGGAGCTGTGGACAGGTAGGGTCATGGAGCCCCAGCCCACAGCATGTAGCTTGAGCCAGTCCAAACCTGTTTGCTGATCCCATCCAGTTTGCTCTGGTCACAGTGAGCTTTTTAAGAGGATTGG